CACTAGAATAGGTATGCCATGTAGATAAAGCAAGCAAATTTATACTATCAGGAATAATAAGGTGTTCTAACGTATAAGTTTTCCTGTCTCCCAAGGTGATCCTATATATACATCACCCTCCTCAGGTAAAGGTTTTATATATTGCTCTTCATATACTTCTGTTGCAGTAAGAGGGGAACCACAATTAACCCAAGCTGGCATTTCTAAGAAAGGCCATGGAAATTTTGGACCCTTCACCTTATATATAACGGGTTGTGGAATATTATTTTTCTGCTAGATTTTTTCTGCAATAGATGGGTCATTGAAAATTTCCCCTGATTCATCACGATTTTGCTGGAAGCATTTCACAATGAATAAACCATCATAATGTGCATGACCGAACCACCTCTGATCCTTGTCATGTATGCATTTGCAAAGTGGGCATTCTAGTGGAGCTTTCCGGTTAAAATAAACAAAATTTTGAGAATCTTTTTCTTCGATAGTCCAATTCCTAAGATAGTTAGAATATTTTTGCAAAACTAGGTCTGCATATTTTTGTAATATATCCTGACCCGCGATTATTCTCAGTGGATTATTATTTTTTTTTACACTAAGTACACGGGGTCTTACTTCAAGACACAAACTAGTAGGCAGTTGAACTCTAACATGATCGAGTTCATTCCAGCCATTATCTAGTGAAAACTGAAGAATGCGCTTCACATGACCTTTTTTTGCCGAACCAATTAGGCAAAGGTTAAAATTTTGACCAGGCAACCCTCGATCAATATACTTGCCAAATTTTTTCCCAGTTAAAGAATAGACTAATTCTGTAAATGCTTTGAGTCCGTGATGATCGATAAGAAGCGCCAGTGCATATAAAATATGGTAGCTACACTTGCTAGGATCTGAAGACATGATAATTACTAATCCTTTGAGAATATCTTCCCAACCACAGTCAAGAATTCGATACAATGCTCTTATGAAAGAGCAACAGATTCGAATAAATACTTCTTGTCCCTCAACACTAGCTGTTTCCATATCTTCTTTCGACGCATCGATATCAATCACAGCTCTTAAAGGCTTTTAACCATTAATACATTCATAAATCCCAGGCAAACCATATACTTCTGAAATGTCATCCGCAATGGAAAACTTCGGGGCCCGATCACTATCTTGGTCGATTTTGATAACCAATTTATCTTCTACTTCATTTCGGTCATAAGCATTATATAAACTAGGACCTTTTATATTCAAAAAGAGGAATGAATAGATTGGGAGGCAATCCAATGACCCTTTATCGTTTGACATATCTCTAGACAGTGATGAGAGAAGATTCTGAATGGCATTTAGCAAGTCCTTGGAAGAGAAATTATTATTAAACTTTTCTTGTCTTAAAGTGTATATTACATTAGCCTTTTGCTCTTCTACATTTGATGGAGTCACGATAGTGCTGGTTGAAGCATGAGGAGCTTCTTCACTATCTGACTCACAATTAGACTCGTAGTTATTATAATTATCTGATCCACAATCAGAATCATTATAGCTATTTGAGTCACTCAAGTGTTCATCGGTCTCAGTGCCATCGTAGCAGGCGAGGGGGTGGTTCTAGTGTGATCAGTTTGGTCAGAAATAGTTGAGGTATGCATGTCAGCAGTAAGTAAAACTTTATATACTCCAATATATTTTCGAAATGTTTAAAATAATTTTTTTGATGGATACAAAAAAGAGGCGATAACGAACTTGGGTTGCAAATCATAAAAGAAAGACATCGAGATATATATCAAAAAGTGTAGGCTTCTGCGTAATCATTATATAAAATATTGGCAGAAGCCTACACTTTTCTAGACATACATCCAGATACATAGCATATATATCCAGGTACATATTTCCGAAGAAGACTTTATAACACCGATTATTTGTGCGCCATACTAACCAGACCCAAAATTGCGTCTCTTTTTTGCATCCATAAAAAAATTAGAAAATTTCGCGCAATTTATATTTGACATATTGGATTTCGAAGGTAAGTGCATTATGAAAAGTAATGTCAAACTTCAGAAGAAAATATGAATGCGTATTTCCTCAACCTGTTAACATGTTAACACTTTTTGTTTCTATAAAATTTTGAGCGCCAACCTCAATTTTGGGCCTGGTCAATCATGATCTCAAAAATAGCGCCCAGAACCCAAGACACAATAAATTCAGTTAATTATAGCTAGCACTATTTCATAAATTTGGCCAAAACTTGCGACAGAATAATTCGGTATCAAGCTAACATGAAACTAATCCGGGACTGGTGAACTAATAGAGCCACTATTATGGCGCCAACCTGTTAACCTGTTAATAATCAAAAAAATAGTGCCAAACGGCGCTTCAATTCTTCTAAATATAATTGGCAGCTTCAATGAATCAGAAAATATTTGGTGCTGTTCTTAATCTGGAGATAGTTGGTGCAGTTAATGATTACTGAATAATCAAAAGGCTTATCCTCTGAATGGTGCTAATTATAATTATTATGTGCACTTCTTTCTGTCACGATGCAACAATAAAACAGAATAATATTTTGAAGAAGCTCACATACTCATATTGATAGCAAGCTTCCTCAAATCACTGTTTAGTTGATTAGGAAAATCTGTCCTAGTTTCTGTCCTAGTTCACCCAGTCATCTTAATAACTTGGACAGATTTCTCAATCATGTACTCTAAAGATCAGCCAGAATTATGTTATAGTGTCAGCCAAAGATAAATGCAGATTTTACTACGAATTTACTGCACTATCTGACGTGATAATTTTTTACCACATTTTGGCAGGCAACCAAAGGGGCGCAAAAAGGTAAGCACCTTGATATAAAAATCGGCACACTTATACCTGGTAACTAATAGGCAATGGTTAGGTCACAAAAGGGCAAACTTCATAGATTTTTATTTCACATTAATAGTTTTCTATCCATGTTAATAAATAAATATATTGATCTCAAGAATAGCATTAGGAAAACAGTGAAGAACTATTTCTTTATAATGATTAACTATATATCTTTTTTCTTGCAAGCTCAGAGATGCAAAAATTGATTACCTTTGGCACATCTACTGCCTTTTTATGAAAAAATAAATTTGAAACATGATATCCATAGATATAGGAAAGCAAAGAAGCGCAATAAAATAATAAAAACAATCAAAAACGCTAAAAACTCTAAAACACAAAATTGTTAATAAAAATGTACAATCCAGTTCCACTGATAATTGATGCTAAATTTAACAAATCTGGCACTAAACCAGAAAGCATTCACCCAGGATATGACTTGGAATATGTAATAGATCATTTAGTGAAATATGGTAGTTACAACTATCATCGTGTTGAAAACATGTGTAAAATAGAAAAGCAATATGATGATTTATCAATCATTAATCCTGGTGAAACACCACAACAATGGGCCATCCGTGTAAAGAATGAAGTGCAAAAATTGTGCTCTAGAGGAGTGTGTAGTATATATCACACACAATGTCTATTCGCATTATCGGGGCAGAGAATGATCAAAACATTCTATATAAACCATGAAGAATATATAGATCATATTAGCTACCGCAGACCCCAAATACACAAAAGCAACGTAGCACTGTGCTTTGAGTGCTGGAGAGTAGTTACTGTTGATAGAGATATAAAAACAGAAAAACAATATACTACTTCAAGGCGCAGAAAAATAAAAATAGAAGTAGTTTTACCTCTCACATTCAAGCACAAATGCATGAAACCCCCACCAATACCCCCAAAACCATATAACATAAAGCCAACATATCCACCATATCATGATTACACTAACAGAAGTTTACTAGATTAGGTTAAAAATATTTTTTTGCACACTCTTGATCTACTACAGGTTTACATCCAATTAGTGATTACTTTTGAGATAACTTATTTGTCTTTTTTTGAGCTTGCGAAAAAAAAGTGCCGAATTCAAGCACAGGTGCACAAAGCCCCCACCAATACCACCAAAGCCGAGAAACATCGAGATAATATCTTGAAAAAACTTAGCCATAGTGGCGCTATCAACCATCTTAACTCCAGATGGAAAAATCCCCTTATTCCGCTACCCGCACAAAAAAGTTTAATTTTTTTCGATTCATACTTTACCGCACTTATCATCCCTGTCTTCTCCTGATAAATCACTCAAAGCCAGATCAAGAGGTATCCAGTTGAAATAACAAAATATAGGTTAACAATATGTCTTTTTTTGAGTTTGCGAAAAAAAAGTTTCGATAGATGAAGAAATATAATGCATCACAATAGATGAAGCAATTAGACGCAGCGCCCTCAAAACAACACCAGTTTCTCTCCGCACACCCTCTTGATTTACTAATACAAGTCAACATCGTTTTATGGAAAACTATTCACCATTCAAAAAAAGCCGTATATAGCTACCCAACCCCCAAAGCACAAGAAGGTTCTGGATTTGTGCCCCTTGTACAGAAAAGGCTAACTCTTTCTACTTTTTCTTTATGATTTATGAAGAACGCGCCGAAGAGAAGGTAGACAAAGTTGGTCTTTCAGCCAAACCTCGCCCTCTCGCGATTTTATCGCTTGAAGCCGGACTAGCTGGTGTTCAGAAACATACGTTAACTAAAAATCTTTTTTCGAGCAAGCAAGAAAAAAGAGCCCTAGCCCAGCGGCAAACAGGCCCAAACCCCTGGCAAGCAAAAGTTAGACTTAAAACCAACCTAACTAGGCAAAACTGCATAGAAAATTTAAGATTTTAAGCTCTATAGCCCCCCTAACTGATAAAACAAAAAGTTAGACTTGTAAAACACGTAAGCAAAACCTAACTTTATTGATTTTAAACTCCCTAACCCGTAGCGCCACCAAAATTAATAAAATTGAATTTTAAGCTTAGTATTTTTTAACACCATCCAGGATAACTGAGAGGAAGTAGTCCTCTCTTCAGAGGTCAAAAAGCTTTATAAACCATGAAAAGATATACAAATAATCAATAGGTATTTTAACCTTCTGGATAGATTTTGAGCGCAATTTTAATAAATTTGAGCCAGAACCACTAATATCATACCACTGCATCATCATTATTATTATTGTTGTTGTTACGATTTTGTTGTTGTAGTGGAGGTTGATTATTATTATTTTGGGGTTGGTTGTTATTGTTGTTAAAAGGTTGATTATTGTTTTGGTTGTTGTTATTTCGATTGTTATTAAAGTTGTTGTTTCTATTATTGTTATTATAATTATTGTTATTATAATTATTATT